TACACGGATGGATGGATGGATGGATGGATGGATGGATGGATGGATGGGTGGGTGGGTGGGTGGATGGGTGGATGGGTGGATGGGTGGATGGATGGATGGATGGGTGGATAGATGGATATGTAGGTAGATAGATAGGATAAATAGAAGACTATGCTACACAGGTAAATATGTAGATAGACAGGTAATACTATGTAACTTCTCAACTTTTTATATGAATATTTTCATAGTTAAATGTTGAAAGGTAGTTGTAAAAAAGATCAGTCCAAATATCTGTGTCATGAATAGTCACAAACTATCAAATCTTTTTTTTCGTCCCACACCTTTTTTTTTTTGTAATTTATTGTAACTTTTAATTTTTGTTTGATATGTAAGGGTGTTTGCCCTGCATATATATCTGTGTACCACATGTAGTGCCCTCAGAGGCCAGTAGAGGGCATCAGATAACTGGAGTTACACTGGTTGTGGGCCACCATGTGGGTTCTAGGAACCAAACCTGTGTCTCCTAGAACAGCCACTTCTCTTAACCACTGGGCCATCCCTTATATGTAACCCTGGCTATTCACACCTGGTTAGAAATTTTTCTGATTTCATACCATCCTAAATTCAAGTTCCAGGGGATCTGATGCCCTCTTCTGACTAACACAGGCATGAAGTACACAGGTGGTACATATATGTACACTCAGACAAAATACACATAAAATGAGTAAGCAAGCAGGTCAGCTGGAGCTGTTGGCAAAGCAGCTGTATGTAGCTGGGTAGGAGGGTTCAGAGAAGGAGTGAGGATGTCCCGAGAAGAAACAAACAGGCCTAGTACTGTTTTGGCCGGTATCCACATAAAATATAGAAGGGGGATGGAAAGTTACATTGTTGAGTCAGCTCTTCTAAATCACAGGCTTAGTAATGGGATCTGCAAGTTTATTTTGTTCTCTTTAGATAGCAGTCTTCATACCTCAGCTCCCAAGTACTGGCATGCAAGCACTGGCCTCTCCCTCACCTCACCTCAGCCGCCTGCGTGATTGTTTTAGGGAACTTTATCGTTCACTCTTTCCCTAGTTTCTCATGCATGTCCTGGCAGAGGTCTTACTTTGGGGTTGGATTTCTTTTGAGGTGGTTTCATGTCCACCAGGCTGACTTTGAACTTGCTCTGTAGCTGACCATGTCCTTGAACATCTGTTTTCCTCCACCTCCCAGCTGCTGGGATTGTGAGTATACATCTGTGCCACACCAGGTTGGAGTCTTAATAAATATCTAATCTGTGTAAGCCTAGGTCTTCTGAGAGCAGCCTAGATTATCGAGGCTTACATACCGAGGCTTACATACGTTTGGATTTTCTTCCTTTATAAAAAAAAATCCCGCCGGGCGATGGTGGCGCACGCCTTTAATCCCAGCACTTAGGAGGCAGAGGCAGGCAGATTTCTGAATTCGAGAGTTCAAGGCTAGCCTGGTCTACAGAGTGAGTTTCAGGACAGCCAGGGCTACACAGAGAAACTCTGTCTCGAAAAACCAAACCAAAATAAATAAATAAATAAATAAATATAAAAATAAATCCCTTAATTTTATTATTATTTATTTTTAGAAAACTAAATGAGTATTGATTTGGTTTAGTTTTGGTCCAAAATTAGTAAAATGAACTCAGTTTTGTGAACTTGCTTTTTCCTCCAGCTTGATAGCTTGCATCTATATGAATGTGTGTATATGCGTGTGTACATATGCATTCTTTCTCTTGCTTTTCCAGTATTTAAAGGCTGTGATAACTCCAGAGTGTCTTCTGATACTAGATTATCGGAATCTAAACCTGGAGCACTGGCTGTTCCGGGAACTGCCCTCACAGCTGTCTGGAGAAGGTCAGCTCGTCACATACCCACTACCATTTGAGTTCCGAGCTATTGAAGCACTCCTGCAGTACTGGGTAAGCCTGATCTAATGGAGTGTCTGGAGGTTGCTTTAGTTTCAAATGACTGGAGTGTGAAGGCTGCTAGGAAAAGCATCAGCTCAGAACCCCCAAGACCAAATTGTCAACAGAAAGGAGATTTATTTGCCCCAGAGGTTCAGAAGACAGGGAATAAGAGACGGGAGATAAGGGACAAGGGAGAAGGGAAAGGCAACAGGGAGAGGGAGGAGGGGTATTTGTCCAGAAGGAGGACAAAGGACCACCTTTGGATAGAGAGGAGACAGTCGTGACACATAGAAAAATGGCAGTATTTTATAAAGGTAAAAGGAGAAACCCTGTGTTAGGATGAGGTATTTAATTTTAACTGGGCATGTTAATTAGGTGAGCCAAAGGGGGCTTTTGACTGCTGGACTTCAATACCTTGATAGCTGGACCTTGGTAGTGGCCAAGTAAGGGAATGGGCCTTGGTGGCTAGCTTTAGGCTTGTAATCTAACAGTTTTTTTAGCAAGGCAGAGGGAATGGAAGAAAAGGGCAAGCCTTGCTCGACAGAGCATGGCCAGAGTCCCTTCAAAGGCAAGTTAGTATTGATTATTTCAAAGCTGATTTCCCCAGCCACATTAGAATCACTTGTAAGGCTCCTCCAAGGACAGAACTTCATTTTCCAACTTTATGACCCAAGCCAGTGGAACTAAAGACTCTTCAGAGGAAACTGAGGAAGTACATTTTGGATTGGCTCCCTTTTATACACTTTTATGTTTTTTATTTTTTTGTTTGTTGGATTGGGATCCTGCTGTATATACAACAGACCGACCTTGAACTAAGGTGGTCCCCCTGCTTCATCCTCTGTAGTGCTGGGCTTACAGGTGTGTAGCACCACACCTGTCTGCACTGTCAAGAACCATATCATGGAATGAGTATTCAAGAGACCTTAGGCTGTATGTCCATCCCTGAGCACCTTTTGCTTCATTCTTCAAATTAAACTGTATAATACACGGGAACATCGGTCACATGGTCCTCTGTTTAAAAGAGCTCAAGGAGATCCCTCTTGTTTGGTGCCTAGACTGACAGGAGCCACAGTTCTTCTAATGACCCCTGCTCCAAACCTCAGTAGTCACTGCTTTCCTAAATGCTCAGGAGAGACTGAGTGAACCTGGTACCCCTCTCTGTTACCTGCTTGCTTTAATGAGGGAAGAGATGGTTTTTTCTCTGCTGGGGTTACTGGAGCAACAACACAGTGCGCATGGTGCATGACAGGCTGGTCTGTCAGGACTTCACAGTATGGGAGCAGATATTGTCAGCTATGGGGAGAACAGAGGGAGCTCAACCACCTAGTGTAAAAGTTCTGGCCTGTTACATCGGGTCCCCAGAAGATGTTTTTTTCTGATCGAGCACTATAGTATCAAGCCAGCCATCCCCTCAGGGGATCCATACAAATAAAGGGGAACCCCCTCAACCCACTTGGACCATGACTAGGAACAGGAGACCTCACAAAGACCTGGAGTGGGATCCTAGCCTCCCATTCACACCAAGTCCAGCCCTTGCTGGCCAGACGGTTGGTGTCTCTTTAGGATAATGAACCAGTAGGTCTACCTTAATTTCCCACTCTGGGTCTTCTGAACCTAGAACTAGATCCTGTTAATACAGACTAAAAGAGTCTGTAGCAAGCTGCTGTAAACCCTGATTCTGGGCTGCAGCTCCAAGTCACATGACTTGTGTTTCTGAGTTAAAACAGCATGTAGTCACATTTGTAGTCCTAATTCTCCTACTCAGCTCTATTATTCATGTGTCATCTGCCGGTCGGTGTGGAGGTATTTTGATCTTAACCACTATCCTATTAACATTTCGTCCCTGTGGGTTATCAGCCATACTTGTGTTAGTTTAAGAAAAGCATACTTTGGACTCTCCAATGTTTTAATGTGTCTTTTTTAAAGTCCAAGGGACATTTCATTTTTCCTCCCCCTTCCAAAGCCTGGAATTAGAGGCACATGACAGTATATACAGTTTATTCCATGCTGTGGGTCTGACCCAGGACTTCATGCATGCTAGGCAGGTTCTCTGCCACCTAACCTACATCTCTAGCCCAAGTTTCAGTTGTTGAAAGACCGTGGACCACAGCAATTTTGAGCTATTCTCTGTTGACAGAAAACTTAGCTCTAACCAATGTGAAATGCATGTTTTGATATGGGATTTCAGATTTATTTTATATTTATTGTGTATGTTTGTATAGCTATGGGGGGGGGTGCCAGTAGAGGCCAGGGGTATTGGATCTCCTGATATCGGAGTTACACAGTTGTGAGCTGCCAGGCATGAGCTATGGGAACTAAATTCTGGTCTTCAAGAAGAGCAGGAAATACTCTTAACCCCTGAGCTATCTCTGCAGTCCCCAGGATATCAGGTTTTTGTTTTAACAATTCTTTCCCTAGTCCTTTCATAGCAGCTGTCTATAGAGGAAGACTGTTGTGAGAGTTAATCCAGAGCCGATGACAGCATTATATGTTGCTAACCCAGGAGATGTGGCTTTTGATTCATCTATAGATGGGTGTTCCAGCAGGGGCCTTATTCTAAAATGCTGTCAGGTTTTTTGGCTAGTACAAATGTCTGTGTTTAATTAGAGGCTTCACTGATCCTAAGTTCTAAAAAGGTTGTTTTAATTCTTATGAAAGGCCATGTTGTTATCTAGATCAACACCCTTCGGGG